GTTCTATTTACTCATTGAATAACATTTACTGTGTGTCGTTCATACAAATTAAGATACTGTAATCTCGCAAAAGGATCTAATGGAGGTGAATCAATTGTAACCCGTAATTCTGATATCTACTATTTATTTCCTAATACATCCACCACACTCGAACTTATTGAACAATAAACAGACAACAGTCTTGGAACCTCAGTGCGGCTACGTCACTGTAACATTCGGCAACATTTTCAGCAGTGCCTGGCAATATTTTTTTAAATTATTGGAGTACTTTCTTTCAAAATTTAAAAATTTGGGAGAGAAAGCCGTGCAATCGGTTCCACTGCATACACAAAATGTGGTAAAGCATCCAGCAATTGCTCTTTTCTACCTTCAAGTTTTCGGTAATTGAAATATGTGAGAGTTTTCTGTGCAAATTCAATTTTCCAGTCAGTATCTGTACCGAATTATCCGTCTTGTATAAAAAGCACAAAATTTATTAAGTGACACAGAAAACAAAATCGCATAAATATATAGTTTAAGCTTGAAGACGATTTATTCAAACAATTAATCGTTCTCTGAACATAACCATAACTGATATAACTCAAGTTAACTTCTGGTAAAATCGATGGAACCCGCTCTTGTTAAAGTTCTATTTTAATTGCAACATTTAAGAGGCCATCAAACAAATTGATCGGCGTCAATAACTTGACACAACACAGTTAATCCGGTTTGTTCCGTAACTGTTGTGACAATGAACAATGACTCTCCGTTTTATAACTAATATTAGCGAGAGTGAAGGATAGTAAACTGATAACGGTCTTACAATTCTAGGACGATGGATGTTGCACGTGAGTTCTCCAGCACGTGACATAACATCAGCATGTAACCAGATCTGAGGAAGAATCCACGTTAGACCATCAGAGACAATCAGACTGTTCAATGTCGATTTCTTTTACGTCATCTCTTCCTGGAGAGAAAACGACGTCGGTATGGGTAATTCATTGAGACGTCGAATTTTATCATCTCAAACCTGGAATTTTAACCAGATCAAGATTTATTACAATTCTGTTGAAGAAAGCGATGCCATGGATACAATTTAAATGCGTGTCAGCGATGGTCAGCAATATCTACAAAGATATCACAGGAGTGGTCTGATGACGGTGGATGTGTTGGAGACACTGAATAGGAACTTTGATGATACAAACACAACACTGAGGAAGTTTGTTCTTTATAAGTTTTAGTATTGAATCGTTCTTAAAAGAAATTGGTGAAGTGTTATTTAGTATCTGACAACCGACTGTGAGGTGAGTTTGGCTCCTGAATATGAAACAATTAAGAAGCAATTGATACCGACTAGTGAGAGAGATATGGCTGTGATTTAGAGAGTGATTAAGAAGGAGATTCGCCAAAGATGCACTGGTCAATGTGGACACTGTTAGTGAGCGGACTGATTCCGATTCTCGTCAATCAGGGTAGGTAATTAACAAAATGGAAAAGTTTTTATCGTCTAACTGTTGCCGAGGTCTGATTTATAAAAACGCTTTTTTACTGAAAGCCTCGTTAAATATCATTAATGAAAGTTATGTGCAGTTTCTGTTTATGGTAGAAATAGCCATATACTTACAGGAAATGTATGTTCATTGATATCTGAGACAACATCAACTATAGAGAGAGGTGTTAGAACATGCTATTCACAAACATATTTATTACATCTCAGATATTGGGTAGTTATCATTGTAGGGGTAATACAATGCAAAATGCAGAACAAAATGTGATATCATACTTAATTAACTTTGGTGTCATTAATGTATGTAATTGTACGCTGACTGAAGAGTTTATACGGCAAATATCTATTATTTTACGTAATTGCTGGATTAAGAATTCAACCCTAAACGTGATCATCTGCTTTCTTGCCATCCTCACTAATAACACGAAACTGCAGATAGGTTAACAAAATTAAAGTCGCTTAAACGAAATAAAAGAAAAAACAAAATTTGTTCTTACAGAGAGGAGTTGTATAGCCTGCTGTCAAATCCTACTGGAAAGATAATATTATGTAAATAACACTTTAAACATTACACGTCTAAAAAGGAGAAAAAGAAAAAAAGCGTCGTATGATTCATCTACAACGTCTACAAATCTTCTTCATGCCAAGTACATGATGTCATGATTGTATGAGATTTGGATGAAAATAATATCAAACAATATATCGCCAAAGTGATTGTGATAGCGACAACAAAACTTATCAACATACATCTCCAGGTCAACAAGCACCAAAGGTTTAGGAAATATTGTACCTAAATTCCACAATATAGAAATAAAGTCCTTTTTCTAATAGACTGATTTATGTCCTTAATTTTAATTCTAATGAAGGATATGGTCAATGAATTCCTTGTTATTCAAAGACAATGCGTCATCTTTCAATATATCTGAAGGTGAAAACTAAAGGATTTCTTCTGGTTTGGATAAATTTCAGTAGTCTCGAATGAAAACAAAAAACAAACTATTCAAAAGAAAACAGCTTTAACCTTTAGAAAGATCTTACCACCAAACTCATCGAAGAAACTGTCAACTTTGATTCGATCACTTTCATCCTTAGCATATGTCTTCTTGGCTTTAGAAATACTTTGAATGAAATGTTCCAAAAAAAAAAAAATAATAGCAAGAACAGCAAGCTCTCGTAACCAAACATACTGACGTGATTTTCAGGCCCAAGTTTCTCAATGCTTGGTTACAGATAAGCAGTTATACATGATATATTGAAAGTATTGCCACCGTGAAAAAGGGGACTTTTAAAGAAAAATTGACACTCAAAAATTATCAATTTAACCTATCACGACCTATCTACAGCTATAAAATGATAAATAATGTTCCAAATTTTTTACATTCACCCTTGAACATTTCCCCTAATTACTGGTTAACTTGAAAAAATCTATTTCAACATCACACCAAAACAGCTTCGTTTACATAATAACAATTGTAAATGCAGCACTTTTCAAACATTATCGATTGAACTAACCCGGCAATATTTCGTGTGAAACAAGTTATTTACAGACACGAACACTCGTAAACATGGCCGTTGTGTTCCATGAGTCTGACAACAGGAAGGCAATCGCAAAACAGAATATCCGCTGAGTATGACGTAAATACTTTATCTTTGAAAGCAAAATATTGAGTGTTTGCCGTAATTACAATGACAAGCAATGGGTAATATAACTGACAGAAGTTTATCGACTATGATAAATTTTGCCGCAGGTAACTTAGTCGAAGAAAATACCCTGTCTGTCGCTCTATCTCTAAAATGTAATTGTTTCTTGCTCCGAGACAAATTGATTTCCTTTCCAATTTCCGGCAACACTTGCAATCAACCTGTCGAGTAAAATTATTTTATTAAAAGCAGCAATAAACACCAAACGCCTAAAGTACAGAGGATTATTGAGCGTCAGAGAATGATGTGTAATCTCAAGACACAACTCGCTATCAGTGATCAATGTCCACGACACTTTCAACTTATTCGATTTGTCTATGGTTTAGCTTGGTTCTAGCCATCTGTTTAATGTGGTGTGTAGACTGCCTTTAAGCTTTCGAAATGTCACTCTGTCGTGGCTTCAAACTCATAAAGCTCCAAAAACGGAAACAAGCGATGTTCGAGGCAGGCATCCTGAAGCTGGAATTAGTCAGTGTCGTGGTTGCGCAATGGACTATTTTTATTTTAGATAGAAATGTTAGTTACTATTTAACAAACTTGCTATGGATATTCATTGACAATGCTAACCCGATCCACACATCTAGTTATCTGTTAAAAATGCGGGTCCGATGGGATACTTATATATTCTAGAAGTCGAAATCGAGCTTAATCTTGGTGGGAATATGAGAATCAGAGATGCAGGCCTTTAGATTCGTATCATTATCTTTATTTCCATATCGTAAGACATCGATCGCGTTGATGATCTATATACTCTCGGTACTGCATTATGGAACTGTATTTTAGCACTTACTAACAATAAGTTAAGTTTGATATACTGATTTTAAAACATTTATGCCAATACGATTTGATAACCACGAGTATACGAACCTCATGTTAATCTCGGTCTGACTTTATGCTGTATGACGGTACCGAGCTGCGTTCATACCGCCATTCCATTACAGCCACAAAGGCAGACTAGAACCATAACCTATTATTCTTCTACATCCAATGCGATACCACAGTGCATTGTAGACTTTCTTATCAATACCGGATGTTGACGGAAGCTTAACACTCAGCATTGCAATAAAACGTTTAAACATTCACATTATAACAAGGCAATAACTAATGTCTGTGAGCATAAAGTATTTAATGGATAAGTAATGGCCGTTCGGAATGTCTCTTAAGCCTAGATTGACGACAATAGTGATCATTATACGTAATTGCCGCAGCGTTATTCTCGGGATTTCAATTTCAGTGATGAAATACACACCATTGTATATTGATTGCCATTAACGTGTCGGAGTTTTCGGATTTTAAAAACATCTTTGCCTATCCACTGGTACTTGTATTCGAATTTACGATATCTCCATTATTTCTGAAACAGGAGACGGTGGAAGCATATCTCACGATTTTTTAGTTTATGGAGATAAAGCAGATAGCTCCACTGTTTCCATGGTAATAAGCTAATCACTCGCATAGTATTTACTTTCGGAGAGACATTTTTTAAAAGCATATATCCTATACCAGAAGGACGTTAATCTAGAATAAAAAACATATAAGATATGCTTGATAAATTTCGTTTTTCTTTTAGTTGTAGTAAGTATAGTAGCTATTATTTATGTACTTTTAACCAGATAGTATGTGATCATGATTACATACAAACCACTGTTGTCAATACAAACATTTTTTTGCTCACAATATTCCACGTACAGAGACTACACATTTCTGGTTTTTTATTAATTAAAATAAAAACGTAAGTTTCACTGTAAGTATTATATATATTGTATAAATCATTTAATACTTCTAATTTGTACTGGCATCTTATTTATTACAGGCGTGGCATGCAATGGTGGCGTGACCTTTGTGACAGCGCTTTACGACATTGGGCGCGGAAACTGGACGGGTTGGGCCCGAGGTTTCGATACATACTTACACCATTTTTCCGTTCTTTTAAAAGCTAACATAACCCTGTACATTTTCTGTGATGACAAGGTAGCCCATTTTGTCAGACGTGTTCGGACTCCAGCACAAGAAACGTTCGTCCACACTCTACCTTTTGAGGACCTTGAGTTCCAGGGTTACAAACAACATATCAATCAGGTATTAAGGTCAGAGGAGTTCCGGAAGGACAACGACATGTTACACCATCCGGAATGTTTCTCTTCTGACTATATAATATTAATGAACAATAAAATATCTTTCTTGAACATAGCGAGGGCGTGGAATCCTTTCAAGACTTCTCATTTTTATTGGATAGACGCCGGATATGGACATGGATCGGTAGAATTTCCAAAAAACTGTGCATCTCCATGGAAACCCGAAAAACTACTTTTAATAGTTAGAAAAATTACTTATATACAACTCGCTAATCTGACTTTGTATCAAAACAAGACGGACCTACATAAGGTGAGACGGGGTCCTGCGCTAAGTGGCGGCTTCTTCGGTGGAGACCTGTCAGCTATTGCTGAATACTACCACCTGTACCGGAAAGTGTTTCGCGCATGCCTGGTTGAGAACATAGTTGATGATGACCAAAGTATGGCGTTGTACGCCTATTTTGAATATCCTATATTGTTTAAATTTGAACATGGACGTTGGTTTGATGCTGTCGAACTGTTTTCCTGATTCAAATAAATAATAAATAAATTGTTACAGTTGTATTGTTTATGGAATATTGGAGTAACCTCGAATTCACTGTAAAATCAATTAAATCGATACCTAACTTACTGAAATCTTACTTGAATTGAAGTCACAAGATATATAAACATCTTTCTCATATGAGATTACTTTTCGTGAACAGATTTGAAGATGAATTTGAGACATGGTCATCCGATCGATTAAACAGAAAAACGATTGTCTATCATTTCGTCTGCTATGGACAATTTCACAATGAATTGAATCCCACAGTTTTACAGTTTAACATCTCTCTACCATGTCCGAGTTTAACATCTCTCTATCGTGTCCGAGTTTAACGTCTCTCTATCGTGTTCGAGTTTAACATCTCTCTACCATGTCCGAGTTTAACATCTCTCTATCGTGTTCGAGTTTAACATCTCTCTACCATGTCCGAGTTTAACATCTTTCTATCATGTTCGAGTTTAACACCTCTCTATCATGTTCGAGTTTAAAATCTCTTTATCATGTTCGAGTTTAACATCTCTCTATCGTGTTCGAGTTTAACATCTCTCTATCGTGTTCGAGTTTAACATCTCTCTATCATGTCCGAGTTTAACATCTCTCTATCATGTTCGAGTTTAACATCTCTCTATCATGTTCGAGTTTAACAGTTCTCTATCATGTCCGAGTTTAACATCTCTCTATCATGTTCGAGTTTAACATCTCTCTATCATGTCCGAGTTTAACATCTCTCTATCATGTTCGAGTTTAACAGTTCTCTATCATGTCCGAGTTTAACATCTCTCTATCATGTTCGAGTTTAACATCTCTCTATCATGTTCGAGTTTAACATCTCTCTATCATGTTCTCTCTATCATGTTCGAGTTTAACATCTCTCTATCATGTTCGAGTTTAACATCTCTATATCATGTTCGAGTTTAACATCTCTCTATCATGTTCGAGTTTAACATCTCTCTATCATGTTCGAGTTTAACATCTCTCTATCATGTTCGAGTTTAACATCTCTCTATCATGTCCGAGTTTAACATCTCTCTATCATGTTCGAGTTTAACAGTCTCTCTATCATGTTCGAGTTTAACATCTCTCTATCATGTCCGAGTTTAACATCTCTCTATCATGTTCGATTTAAAATCTCTCTATGTTCGAGTTTAACATCTCTCTATCATGTTCGAGTTTAACATCTCTCTATCATGTCCGAGTTTAACATCTCTCTATCATGTCCGAGTTTAACATCTCTCTATCATGTTCGAGTTAAAAGTTCTCTATCGTGTTCGAGTTTAACATCTCCCTATCATGTTCGAGTTTAACAGTTCTCTATCATGTCCGAGTTTAACAGTTCTCTACCATGTCCGAGTTTAACATCTCTCTGTCATGTTCGAGTTTAACATCTCTCTATCATGTTCGAGTTTAACATGTCCGAGTTTAACATCTCTCTATCATGTCCGAGTTTAACATCTCTCTATCGTGTTCGAGTTTAACATCTCTCTATCATGTTCGAGTTTAACATCTCTCTATCATGTGTTCGAGTTTAACATCTCTCTATCATGTTCGAGTTTAACATCTCTCTATCATGTTGTTTAACATCTCTCTATCATGTCCGAGTTTAACATCTCTCTATCATGTTCGAGTTTAACATCTCTCTATCATGTTCGAGTTTAACAGTTCTCTATCATGTCCGAGTTTAACATCTCTCTACCATGTCCGAGTTTAACATCTCTCTATCATGTTCGAGTTTAACATCTCTCTATCATGTTCGAGTTTAACATCTCTCTATCATGTTCGAGTTTAACAGTTCTCTATCATGTCCGAGTTTAACATCTCTCTATCATGTCCGAGTTTAACATCTCTCTATCGAGTTTAACATCTCTCTATGTCCATCTCTCTAGTTTAACATCTCTCTCATGTTCATCTCTCTATCATCATCTCTCTATCATGTTCGAGTTTAACATCTCTCTCTCTCTATCATGTTCGAGTTTAACATCTCTCTATCATGTTTAGTTTAACATCTCTCTATCGTGTCGAGTGTTCGAGTTTAACATCTCTCTATCATGTTCGAGTTTAACATCTCTCTATCATGTTCTTTAACATCTCTCTATCATGTTCGAGTTTAACATCTCTCGTTCGAGTTTAACATCTCTCTTCATTTAACATCTCTCTATGTCAGTGTGTCGAGTTTAACATCTCTCTATCATGTTCGAGTTTAACATCTCTCTATCATGTTCGAGTTTAACATCTCTCTATCATGTTCGAGTTTAACATCTCTCTATCATCTCTCTATCATTCGAGTTTAACATCTCTCTATCATGTTCGAGTTTAACATCTCTCTTTAACATCTCTCTACCATGTCCGAGTTTAACATCTCTCTGTCATGTTCGAGTTTAACATCTCTCTATCATGTTCGAGTTTAACATCTCTCTATCGTGTTCGAGTTTAACATCTCTTTATCATGTTCGAGTTTAACATCTCTCTACCATGTCCGAGTTTAACAACTCTCTATCATGTTCGAGTTAAAAATCTCTTTATCATGTTCGAGTTTAACATCTCCCTATCATGTTCGAGTTTAACAGTTCTCTACCATGTCCGAGTTTAACATCTCTCTATCGTGTTCGAGTTTAACATCTCTCTATCATGTTCGATGTTCGAGTTTAACATCTCTCTCTATCATGTTCGAGTTTAACATCTCTCTATCATGTTCTCTCTCTATCATGTTTCGAGTTTAACATCTCTCTATCATGTTCGAGTTTAACAACTCTCTATCATGTTCGAGTTTAACAGTTCTCTATCATGTCCGAGTTTAACATCTCTCTATCGTGTTCGAGTTTAACATCTCCCTATCATGTTCGAGTTTAACATCTCTCTATCATGTTCGAGTTTAACATCTCTCTATCGTGTTCGAGTTTAACATCTCTCTATCATGTTCGAGTTTAACATCTCTCTATCGTGTTCGAGTTTAACATCTCTTTATCATGTTCGAGTTTAACATCTCTTTATCATGTTCGAGTTTAACATCTCTCTATCATGTTCGAGTTTAACATCTCTCTATCGTGTTCGAGTTTAACATCTCTCTATCATGTTCGAGTTTAACATCTCTCTATCATGTTCGAGTTTAACATCTCTCTATCATGTCCGAGTTTAACATCTCTCTATCATGTCCGAGTTTAACAGTTCTCTACCATGTCCGAGTTTAACATCTCTCTATCATGTTCGAGTTTAAAATCTCTTTATCATGTTCGAGTTTAACATCTCTCTATCATGTTCGAGTTTAACATCTCTCTATCATGTTCGAGTTTAACATCTCTCTGTCATGTTCGAGTTTAACATCTCTTTATCATGTTCGAGTTTAACATCTCTTTATCATGTTCGAGTTTAACATCTCTTTATCATGTTCGAGTTTAACATCTCTCTATCATGTTCGAGTTTAACATCTCTCTATCATGTCCGAGTTTAACATCTCTCTATCATGTTCGAGTTTAACATCTCTTTATCATGTTCGAGTTTAACATCTCTTTATCATGTTCGAGTTTAACATCTCTTTATCATGTTCGAGTTTTACAGTTCGTCTCTAATACATTACTACCTTGATCCCAAACATAAACGGAACCCTCTTCTAATGTCACTTCATCTCTTTGAAATATTACAAAGGTATGCATGACACATAACCTTTACTTCCAGTTCCCCTGTATGACTTCAAATGCTTTAATTTGCTATCAACTATGCATGATCGGCAATAATTTAACCTTTAAATATCTAGACCAGTGCTTTCTGACAATTTGGTCCGTATCGACAGCGACTAAAATAAATGTGACAAAAGTGATTTATCATCGACTTCAAATCACCTGGTGATATTGCACAAATGTAAGGCAATCGGCGGCGTCACCATAGCAATAAGACTTGACTTCTGTAGAACAACTAAATGAACCCGGTGTTGTAACTGGTGATTAATGATCACGCCGGAACGTCGAACATTTAAACCACAAATTGTAATGAACGCACAGTTTGTGGCACTGTGTTTACCTTACTAGCGATCTCGGGAGGTCACATCGACATTACATGTATCCATACCCCCTCATCGACTGCTTGTTACAGCTGGTGATAGAAATATACTTCATTCACCTGTATCTACTTCATTATATAAGTAAGTTGATGTACCTTTGAATGGCATGAGGGGTGAACTTATTTTACCATAATCATTCTCTTCCAAAGTTGGACTTCACATCCAATAACAAAAAACAAGAGGCCCAGAGGGCCTGTATTGCTCACCTGGATATATAAGTTAATAATGCTAAACTTTACATTTCTTCAGAAGGAAAATATTTCCCCTGGTGAGCCTCACCCCATAGATACAGCTTTAAATTCCCTAGGGGTGGGGACAGAGATCAGTTTTTAACCTCTTGATGTCCACCAAGCTATGAAGTTATGTGATTATAATATCAATGGCTTCAAAGATTTCATCTGTCCTGAGGTAGGACCAGACCCCAGGACAAATTATCAGTTGTGATTGTTTATCTCGAGATGCTCAGCAATGCTAGTTATTCAGTGGGAATCACAACTGTTTCAAAGAACCAAATATCCAAATGATTGTTGATGGTGCAAAACAATAAGAAAATGAACTAAATCCACTTAGGGGTTAGATTTTCCCTGTTGGACTACGCCCATCTGACCCAAGGGGGCCGAAACTCACACTTTGTTTAAAAATGATATCTCTTCACCCAAAGAATGCTTTAGAGCAAATATGGACATTGATAGATAGATTTTCTTTGTTGTGCCATGCTCCTTTAGCCCCAGTGGTGAAACCCATGCTTTATACAAACCCGATTTTACTTTACCCAAGCATACTTCAGACCAGTTTTGGATAATATCCTGAAAATCCAAAAGAAGAAGATAGATTTTAAAGAAATTATTAGATTTTCTCTATTGCGCCCCGCCCCTTTAGTCCCAAGGGGCCGAGACCCACCGTTAATAAAAAAAAACGATTTCCCTTCACCCAAGTCTGCTTCAGACCAATATTGGCAATATCCTGCAATTCCAAAGAAGATAGACTTTAAAGAAGTTTTCCTCGTTGGGCCCTGCCTCTTTAGTCACAAGGGACCGAGACCTACCGTTTACACAAAACTATTTTTTCCTTCACCCTAGTATGCTTCAGACAAATGTGGACAATATCCAGAAATTCCTTAAGAACAAGACAAATTTTAAAGAAATTGATAGGTTTTCCTCGTTGGGCCCTGCCTATCTGGCCCCAGGCTCAAGCATGCTTCAGATCGATTGAAGAAAATATCCTGCAATTCCTGAAGAACAGGATAGATTTCGGTCCAGGTGAGCTAAATAGAATGTAAGGTAATTCACAAAAGAGAGAGGTGTTTTGTTCTTCCGAGTTTGAATTGATAAATAGTAGATACTAACTATGCAGTAGCCAAACTTAGCCAAAATCTTACTAGGAGCTAAGCACAATAGTAGACATATATCTTAAGTCAGTTTTGTGCTCTGGTGCAGTCCTGGCAAAGTCAAAAACTAGTGTCAACCCCTTTTATATTGTTACAATGTATACGACTGTGATTCATATAGTCATCAGCTGTAGGTCATCCTGACCACTTACGAACCTGGTGCTCCGGAAGGGTAAAAGTCTTCTGCTTCATCGATGTCATCTGCAATGTAAATCTTGGTCACCCCAAGTAAGTAAAGGTGTTCTAATGTTTCTAATGACAGATTAAGCCAGATTAATAAGATGTACTAATGAACCTGGAGCACCTCTGCCTTCATTACGTCTTTCTCTAGGACCACAAAACAATTCCATGATGATATACAGTATTACTACTTGAAGGGAAGCTATCCTTGTTGATGTATGATTAGTTTCTTGTACATTAATTGATTTTTATTTCAATAGTTAGGTTTGCCTTTATAAACACCCATCCACCCACACTCTCATTTACACATGGTGTGGGCCACGGTGGTTGAATGGTTAAGGCATCTGACCATCTATTATCACTAGAACCCCCCTCTGTCCTTCGGAGTTTGAGATCTACATGGGGCAGTCACCAGAGGTACTGGCTGTATGTTGGTGGTTCTTCTCCCGAGATTCAGTGCTTTCTTCCACCTACCAAACCTGGCATATCCTTAAATGACCCTGGCTGTTAACAGGACATAAGGCAACAATAATACACTATCAGACACACACACAACTGATGTGGTACGTTTTTGCACAACCATGACTGAACTATTCAAAATTAAAATGCAACACAGAAGAAAATGAGGCATTTTTCTACATTCTTTATTGAGTGACTAGGTTTAGTAACAAAATATAACAAAACCTCAACAACTCATTAACATTGCATACTCCCAACATATATTATTGTGCTCACCATATATTCACAACAAGTACAACAAAACACACCATTAAATATATACATGTACACAATACACAGGTTTTAAAATCATAAATAACGTCTGATACATCCCGAAAATAGGTAATAAATATATACTACAATGTATACTACACAACAATATAATCAAATGACAAAAACAAACAAGCAAAAACTTATTGCAAATTGAATAAAGAATTATTGTACCACCTGGAAATCAACATCAGAGTATTTCATTCAACTTAAGATGAATCTTCATAAACTTAGCACTTAATTTGATGTCAATATTTATACATGACAAATTGCTATTTTATGACTTATTCATTTCAAGGTTTGGCTATAGATATTTAGCGTAGAAGTAAGCATGTTGATTACAATGATAAATTATAACGAACCTTGTGAAGTAACACACTTTACACAAACAACCATCACTACTTAAATACCATGAACAAATTACTACATTTAAATAAAAACTTCAACACCAAAACAAAATTGGTAAAGCTTAGTACTAGCCAGTAATTTTTTTCACTTACACTGAAGTTGGAGATTGTAAGTATCGTAAGTATTGTAAGTATTGTAAGTATCGTAAGTATTGTAAGTATCGTAAGTATTGTAAGTATTGTAAGTATCGTAAGTATCGTAAGTATTGTAAGTATTGTAAGTATCGTAAGTATCGTAAGTATTGTAAGTATTGTAAGTATCAAGTAGTAAGTATTGTAAGTATTGTAAGTATCATAAGTATCTAAGTATTGTAAGTATTGTAAGTATCGTAAGTATCGTAAGTATCGTAAGTATAGTATTGTAAGTATTGTAAGTATCGTAAGTATTGTAAATATCGTAAGTATTGTAAGTATCGTAAGTATTGTAAGTATTGTAAGTATTGTAAGTATTGTAAGTATTGTAAGTATCGTAAGTATTGTAAGTATTGTAAGTATCGTAAGTATTGTAAGTATTGTAAGTATCGTAAGTATCGTAAGTATTGTAAATATTTCAGTAGTGTTGATTCATGCTAATATTGGGACTAATAGACATCAACCCAGTACTGGATATTTTACAGTTGTATTGTTATTTCTAGTGCTTTCCTTTCACAAACCGAAAAGTTACTGAAAGTCAAATCTGTACATTGAACAAGAGGACTACAGAGTGAAACAATCTAAAACTGTTTCATGCTAACGAAATATTCATGAATAATTATGTGCAAATTAATACATATACATAAATTTTAATATTGAGTCAAAATTCCATAAAAGAAAACACTGTTTATGTATTAGTGAAATATTCTAAAATAATGGTCATGTAACAGTGTTTTTTATTGGTTAATTCTCATGATGTTATCCTAACTATTCGGACGCCATCCTAAAGATGTTAAGACTGTTAAAGCAGATGACCAATACTGACATCAGAAATTTATGACAATGACATGCTCAAATATGTCATCAAAATGTGAAATAGAAAGAACAGCTACGATAATGTTTATACTCCAACGCCGTTTGTTCTATTTTGCTAAGATTATTTGAGGGATTGTTTCGAACAAAATAGTGCAGATCTTAATTTTGTTGAATTTCATTGATATTACGATAAAATACATTGTTCTTAGACTTAAACTACTTCAGAATGGGGATATTATACTTCGTCTTGGTCTCATGTTAAAACAACAAAATTAATAATTTAATCTCTGATATATGCCAACAAACAAGCATACTAATCCATAATTGAAAGTTTAAAAGATTTTTTAAGTTTTAAAGGGATGAGAAAATTATAAAGTTGAAAAAAACAATGGGCAGTAACTCTGAAATATTGTTGAATCAAAATGTCATTCATGTAAACACAACTTCATTTTATGGTTTAAATCCTATCAAGTTTGAAAGAAATCAGTTGAAAACTGATAAATGAGATGTGTGGACAATATTAACTGTATGAAAAAAACAAGGGGCAGTAACTCTTCCAAATACTTTGACTCGAAATATCCCTCAAGAGGACACTACTTCATGTCACAACGATTAAGCCTTCCAAGTCTGAATTCTGGACATGCTCATTTGAACAGTGTAGGCAAAGAAAAGTTTATGACAGATGGGCAAACAATGCCACACAAAAATATGTCCTGTCAAAAATGTTTTACAGGTGTATAAAAATGAACAACTAGCTGTGGTGCATTGCCAGGTAAGTAGATGATTACATAAATTATAATTAACACACAAAATATATACTACCCTAAAGCTAAGACTGCTTTGTTCTGTGAGACAATACTCATGCAAAAGCTCAACTCTGAAAGTTGTTGTCAGAATTCAGAGAAAATCTGTTGAACATACTATGATTATGAAATAAACAATACTTAAATGTTGAATAAAATTTAAACTTAACTTAAGATTTTGGTTTATAAATAAAGAAATGGACAGCAGAAACAGAAACATATTTTACCTTATACTACATACACACATGATTTCAATACACAAATATCAAACATCTTTAATCACAAAGCATTGAGTAAGTATCACAGTTGGAGGACATATATCAAGGGATTCTCTGACATGCTACAATAGATGCTTTCTGACATTATCTATAGTACATAAGGTTTCTATTATTAGTAACTATGTATTTTAGTTAACCACCCTCTCCTGTGTACATCTATCTTTCCTTTATGTCAAGTGTCTCAGATTCATGTATACCTCTATAAATCTAAATAGCAATTCTTTTAATACATTTTATAAGTTTCTGCAAGATCTTTCAGATAGATAATGCACATCACAGGCGGATAGTAAATTCCTTACTAATGCTATGAAACACATACCTTACTGTGATCACTTGAAATTCATTTGTATTTCATAAAACAATACTTTGTCAGAACTATAGAACTTTCAGTAGTACACATCTTTTTGGTCACATACTGGTAGATAAGGTTGTTATATCTTATAAGAAGATTTAGTTACTCTAATCACAAGAAATGAGTCGCAATAGTCCTCTTCAAGAACATATAGCATCTTCCCTTGTAGCAATCTACAACACTTAATCAAATCAGGAATCACAAATGTTTAAAGTTTTATCAACTTTTGAAAGTCTATCAATTCCTGGTCTTTAAACTCTTGATCCAATAATAGCATGCACTACTGTATGTCCAAACATGAATAAGTTCATTTTTGATACAAAGTGGAAATTTTAAACCAATTAGCACAGTCAATTATCGAGAATATAGTATATAATCTATATTAAACTATTTAGAATTATAGATTTGAAAAAAATACAATATTATTCATCATCGTTTCCCACAGAACCACAAAATAATAATTATACCAACAAAAACTCCGAGGTTTAGCACCAACACAGAAACAATTAGGTTCCTTTAGTACAGTTACATTCAGGTCAATAATTATAGGTCACTGAACAACATTCTGGATTTCTTCTTAAAGCTTTGTCATCACAAACATCCATCATCACTGTTTTGGTGTTTTTCCAAATAAAGTTTTCTTCATGGGCTTATCTTTCCCAGACTGGAAAAAAAAATCATGATTGTATATGGTATCAGTGACATTTTAGAAATAGTCTCATGGAATCCACACAGCAACATAAACATCAGAGTAATATATCAAAAACATACAAGGATAATTACAATTCAAAGGGTTTCTAATATTAATTCAAAAATATCTATTTACTTACAAGAAGTTTAGCACCAAGAAGCATCTTCATTTTATCCTCCTCTTGTTGCACATCCGTCAGTGGAGTTTCCTCCCCTACACGAGCTCTCATGTGGAGTTTTTGTTTGATTGCCTGAATTTGAGCAATAAAACTGATATCATTGAACTAAACTGAAAACATAACTGCAAATTTTGAAGAAGCTTTGTCAGGTTATGAACATAATGGATTTGAACAGCTAAACACTTCGAAAGACAAGTGTATTTTTTCACAATTTAAATCACAGAAAAAAATAGTATTTTGTTTGATTCTGCCTTTCATCTGAATAGAATAGAATATCTTGGTAAATAGATTTCAGTTTAATTCCATTAATCTACACAGGTGTTTCATTTTTTCAAGGCAAATGTAGTTGTCATGCATGAGGTACACTGTTACGAGAATTTTTGAAGAGCGCCTTAATATTTGTAAACCCACACATTTTATTTTAATTGTGTTTGTCACAATCTTTGTTAAATCCTTCAAATCAACACCATTCAATGTGCAGCTAATTCTTAGTCATTGATTTAGTTGTTTATTTTTTATAAATATAACATGATGAATTCACAAACAGTCATTTATCTAACATCATCAAAATTATTGAGTTTAGCATGGCATAATCTAGTTAACAAAAGTATTGATATTGTTATGAACAAATTCATATGAACAATATGATAATATAATTTTTGCATAACAAAGCTGTACCTGAGAAAGTACCACTCTTTTGCTGTCTCCTTGCATCTGCATCAGGAGATCATACCATGTCCATATTTGGTTGTGATATTCCAGAGTAGGCAGTACCAAGCTAAAGTCATGAATATCCTCCAGGTTCTTTTCCTTCATACCCTTTATATAGAAAAAAAAACATGCATCATTTTTTTTTCTGAACTTAACAGAAAATGTTTATGCAGATTGTAACCCAATGGTAACTGTAGCTATGCACAGGTAGACCATGAACTACACTTAGCATCAATTATCTACCTTGTAGGTAACCTGTAAAGACACATCAATTATCTACCTTGTAGGTAACCTGTAAAGACACATCAATTATCTACCTTGTAGGTAACCTGTAAAGACACATCAATTATCTACCTTGTAGGTAACCTGTAAAGACACATCAATTATCTACTGTAAAGACACATCAATTATCTACCTTGTAGGTAACCCATAAAGACACATCAATTATCTACCTTGTAGGTAACCTGTAAAGACACATCAATTATCTACCTTGTAGGTAACCTGTAAAGACACATCAATTATCTACCTTGTAGGTAACCCATAAAGACACATCAATTATCTACCTTGTAGGTAACCCATAAAGACACATCAATTATCTACCTTGTAGGTAACCCATAAAGACACATAAAGTACCCATAAAGACACATCAATTATCTACCTTGTAGGTAACCTTGACACATATCTACCTTGTAGGTAACCCATAAAGACACATCAATTATCTACCTTGTAGGTAACCCATAAAGACACATCAATTATCTACCTTGTAGGTAACCCATAAAGACACATCAATTATCTACCTTGTAGGTAACCTGTAAAGACACATCAATTATCTACCTTGTAGGTAACCTGTAAAGACACATCAATTATCTACCTTGTAGGTAACCTGTAAAGACACATCAATTATCTACCTTGTAGGTAACCTGTAAAGACACATCAATTATCTACCTTGTAGGTAACCCATAAAGACACATCAATTATCTACCTTGTAGGTAACCTGTAAAGACACATCAATTATCTACCTTGTAGGTAACCCGTAAACACATCAATTATCAATCTTGTAGCTGACCAGTAAAGACACATCAATTATCTACCTTGTAGGTAACCTGTAAAGACACATCAATTATCTACCTTGTAGGTAACCTGTAAAGACACATCAATTATCTACCTTGTAGGTAACCCGTAAACACATCAATTATCTACCTTGTAGCTAACATCTAAAGACACATCAATTATCTACCTTGCAACTAACCTGTAAAGACACATCAATTATCTACCTTGTAGGTAACCAGTAAAGACACATCAATTATCAATCTTGTAGCTGACCAGTAAAGACACATCAATTATCTATCTTGTAACTACCCCGTAAAGATACATCAATTATCTACCTTGTAGCTAACCAGTAAAGACACATCAATTATCAATCTTGTAACTAACCAGTAAAGACACATCAAAGACTTACCTTGTAGCTAACACGCAAAGACACTTCAGGTATCTTTATGTACAGGAATGTATTGTTCTTAGCTGCTCGCTCCTAAAATAGAAGTATGAAAAATTTCTGGTTAAACTTTTACATAAATCAAATGTTTGGAAAAAAATATCACAGAGTATAAAAGGTTTATATAAATCTAACATTACTTGGTTTGAGAATCTCTTGAAATCATTGTCCACTAGAGTTAATCTAAAGCATCCAAATCTGATCTACATATGTAGATGTTTTAGAAATGACAATATCACATTGTACCTTCATTTTGTCAATATCATTCTCCGAGCTAAATGAAGCGGACTTTTTCAGCGAGTCCTTCTCTTTTCTTCCTGAAGGTTTTCGGTCGAGCTTCTTTTTGGATGATGATGCTCCATCTGATACATCATCTACAAAAGACATTATCTCCAACAGTTTATATCACATTGGAACATTTTATAGCCAGGTAGAAGAAACAAGACTGATTCAACCTTCTACAATTATATCGTGTCTGGAACATCAAGCTTATAGGCATTCAAACTCTTACACAGTATTCAAATGATCATTCCATCCATTTCATCATTTTTGTTTTTTCATTGAATCTGCAGTCATATTTTATTGTATTTGTTTTTTCTATTTAAGTTTTTATTGTTTGATATCACAATACTGTTTTAATTGTATTTTATACCAGCAATGTTTGACAGGTTATACATGTAAATATTACTAGTCACTAATAAAAAAACAGATCTATCCCGTCTTAACTCACCCTGAGCATCCTCGTCAATGTCCTTATCAGGGAAGAAAAACGCCATCATTGTTTTGAAGAATTGGTGGGTTAGTTGGATCTGCATGGGTACAACATTGACCTCAAAGTGTTCCTTCACAGCTATACCTCCAACTGTCAAACAAAACATACAGAAAAGTACTTTTACTGTCATCACCTTCAGCTATACCTCCGACTGTTAAACAAAACATATAGAAAAGTACTTTTACTGTCATCACTTTCAGCTATACCTCCAACTGACAAATAATGACAGTAGTCATCAAAAGGTCACACTCTACTGGTTGTTTTATAAGAACTACTGTTCTACTGACATTACCAACCTGAAGAAAATATTCTGAAATTTGGAAGCAAGTTTTTCTAAACAAGAAATCAGACAATAAAACAAAACGTATATTTGAATTGGTTAAAGATGACATCCGAATGATAACAGCATTGTACAACTACATGTGAAGAATAAGATGTAGTTAGTGGAGATCAAACATAAGTGTGAATTGTGTTGCATGTTATGTGTACCTGGTGGTCTTTCACTACACAAAATCCTGATGGCCATCTGACGGTTGTCGCCCTCATTACCAATGGGGTGTAGAGGTACAATCACATCCTGAAAATAAAACATTAATGATAACCAGTCAAAGTAGAATTTTACCAGAGACCATCTTCAGATCACAATCACACTAATTTTTTACTAAAAGCTTTTTTAAATTGTGCAATAATTCAAATACTGTTTACTAGGAAACATCCTTCTAGGGTCTTTTTGCCCTCAGATAAACATGTCAATTTTCATCCATGGTTATTCATCTGTAAATATGTGATTAAAAACACCTGACAGGTGAAATACCGAACATTCTTGAACTTTTGGTAAAAAGAAGAAACAAGATGAAAGTTAAACTACAAGTTTCCCTTCTATAGTACAGTCATTTTGGGGCTCCAAAACATCTTCATATTGACATTTTACTTTGTATATAGGGTCATGGAGGATATCTGTGGTGATGTATTGCATTACCTTGTATATAGAATTTGGAAGAAGGTTGGTCATCTTTATCCAGCCTAACTCCAGTTGGTGAGTCCATGTGTCATTGTCTCTGTTCACTTTGGTGTACCTGTTGTCCGAATGAAATATCACAAATAAAATGAAAGGACAGGAAAGTGAATTCTCCCACCTGTATCTGAAGGGTAGGGGAGATAACTCTGAATGGAACAAGAGATTTAACCTTTTCTTACAATATTTTCTATCTATTCTAAATTAAGAGTTTTGGGGCTCTATCTTAACCACTTTCTTAAAAGTTTGTAAATTAATATAAATTTTACAAATATGAAAGACTGTTATGAAATAAACACTAGGCCAGCATACAAAACATGTGTTATTCTTCAAAGCATTTGCAATGCATACTGAAAAGGATCAGGCTACCTACACGAAGTTTCGGAGAGCTAGGTCTGTAACTCCAAGCTGACCATCAGCTTCGGTCAGTCTCCAGTGGGCAAACTTGAAGCACACCTCATGTCTCTTGTCAACCCTAGCTTGGTGGGCTGTTTAATATAAACATACTTTAACACCTCTTTCCTTCCCAAGATTTACTAACTTACATTGTAAGTAAAACACTTTACTGACTGATAGTTCTGATAAAACTTCACAGAAAACAAGTATCAATCTATCATCTCCCCCAAAAACATTAATTTGCAAACCAAATAAAGTGTAAATCACTTTATCATATTTTGGGAAGTTTTCACACAAAAAAACAAAACATGACAAGTAGATAGACAAAATACCCCAGAAACTTAACAAACAAACAAACAAAGAATACTCAAGATTGAAATAAATATACCTCACACTCTCTGATGTTTCTTCTTTAATTAAACATGATATCTTGTATGGATATATAAATTAAGCTTTTTCTTTCAAAAGTGCTCAAGTGAGATCTTTGACCCTTCAACCCTGACTGCTAAACATCTAAATCCAATCAGATGCAAAACTTTTTTATCTTTATCATAACAGATCAATATCATACAACATGTTGAACACAATATCAGAAATTAATATCAAATATAATACCTATGGTTGTTATGATGTATACAACAATATAAGTGGAGTAAATGATAACACAGATAAAAGGTATTTATCAATGATAAACTCACTCTGACTTATTTACCTATCTATTTCTTTAACAGGGTTTTACATCCACTATAATGACCTTTTGACCTTTCAGCGGAGAAATTCACTCCATCTAAACCATACCTTTTAAGGTGACATTTACTGGACACATGTCAGAAGTATTGAAAAGGTGCCTGTCAGCAAACCACAAACTTATGATATAAACTTTTTTTTAAGTTTCAATAATCATATTTTATTTTAAAAATGTCATTAGGATCTGAATTCAAACTAAATATTGACGAAATTGGGGTAAACATGAATTTTTCCTTTATTCATAGATGTTAAACTTTGTTATATCACAGTGTGATGACATGAAATAAATCTGCTGTGGAGCTCGTGATAAAATGAGACAAAAAGGGGGATATAACACACTCTCGTATGTAAGCTAGTAAAAGTTAAGAGTTTTTTGACAATTCTCTGTGTGCTTTTTTGTGGTTCTGTGCTATTATAAAAAGTAAGGAGTGTTTGAATAGGGTAAATATGATACCAGGATGTAGATAGTGTATGGTTTATTGTTCATTATAATTAATTTACTGACACAAACTGTAGATATACCTACATCTGTAACCTTCCATATTTTTCACTTCTTGTCTCATACAGAAATCTCTTGTTGTAATATGTGATTAGTTTTCCCCCTCATTCACTGACGATTAATGTTATGACTACCTATATCTTACTTAGAGCAGTACAATACGGAATCTTACTTTTGTTATTGTATTATTATTTGACTTGTAGGATTTGGTATCATATTTTGAGTAACAGTATATGGTATCTAACTTTTTAAGGTAGAATATGGTATTTAACTTTTTAAGGTAGAATATGGTATTTAACTTTATAAGGTAGAATATGGCATTTAACTTTTTAAGGTAGAATATGGTATTTAACTTTTTAAGGTAGAATATGGTATCTAACTTTTTAAGGTAGAATATGGTATCTAACTTTTTAAGGTAGAATATGGTATCTAACTTTTTAAGGTAGAATATGGTATCTAACTTTTTAAGGTAGAATATGGTATCTAACTTTTTAAGGTAGAATATGGTATCTAACTTTTTAAGGTAGACTATGGTATCTAACTTTTTAAGGTAGAATATGGTATTTAACTTTTTAAGGTAGAATATGGTATCTTAACATTTTAAGGTAGAATATGGTATCTAACTTTATAAGGTAGAATATGGTATCTAACTTTTTAAGGTAGAATATGGTATCTTACTTTTCAAGGTAGAATATGGTATCTAACTGTTTAAGGTAGAATATGGTATCAAACTTTTTAAGGTAGAATAACTTTTTAAGGTATCTAACTTTTTAAGGTAGAATATGGTATCTAACTTTTTAAGGTAGAATGGTATCTAACTTTTTAAGGTAGAATATGGTCTAACTTTTTAAGGTAGAATATGGTATCTAACTTTTTAAGGTAGAATATGGTATCTTAACTTTTTAAGGTAGAATATGGTATCTTAACTTTTTAAGGTAGAATATGGTATCTAACTTTTTAAGGTAGAATATGGTATCTTAACTTTTTAAGGTAGAATATGGTATCTAACTTTTTAAGGTAGAATATGGTATCTAACTTTTTAAGGTAGAATATGGTATCTAACTTTTTAAGGTAGAATATGGTATGGAACTTTTTACAATATCTTACTTTTAGTTGTTTTCATCTGTGACTTGACTTGAAGTTGACTTTCCTTCAAACAGCTGCCAATATTGATGTAAAGATAGAATAAGTCAATTATGAGTCATAACAATTTCGAAGTTGTCACTTTTTCACCATAGTGCATTCACATGAAATCTGATCACAGCTAAGATAAGTGATTTTGAGGTAGTATACTGTGACAACTACAAACAATAGATTATCAAATAAAGCAGACATGAAAATTTAAACTTATTCAGAGCATCAGATTTTACAAGATCTGGGCTTTTTGAGTAGCCTGCACTTACTACGATGAATAAGTATAGCAATCATCAATTCAAAGGCAATACAAGAAATACAAGAAACATGATAACAAAAATCAGTAGTTATGGCATCATAGTTAAGTTTTAAAATTAAGTCTCCCTACCTGATTCTGAGTGAAAGTTCTTCATTGGAGGAGTTGATTCTTTCTTTACAATCAAACAACATCATCTCCAGCTTTTCTGACTGCTCTAACAGACTGCAAATTAATTACCAACATGACTGCAGCACTCCAAAATTATATTTTAATATACAAAGTTAAGTTACAATATATAAATTCATAGCTCTGATATACTGTAAAATCATACATTTTCATGGGCTTAAATTTTGTGGTTTTTAAAAACCCTTCTATTTCATGGACACTTGATTTTGCGGATAAATATTGCTCAATAAATCTGCTTTTATCATTTTAACATTTCGCTGACATAGGAATTTGTGGATTAAGAGTATTCACCAAGCCAATGAAAATAAATCCCTCACGGAAATTAATGATATTACAGTAATGTTCTTGGTGGTTGTTCTTATGTTTTGTGACCCAGACCACCGAGATCAGCTGTGTCATCCCTATACTTACCATACTTATCCATAATAACATTTCAGGTGCTGAAACACTGTCAACCATTCCACCACCACTATATACTGTACAGATTATTCCTATTGATCATTTTGATTATCACTACAAAGTTTATTCATAAACCAGTTCTAAACATTTTTTTAACAAAAACAATATTTTTCTTTATTTTCTGAATTCCTAGTTACTGAGTTAATATTTAACCTGAATTCCTAGTTACTGAGTTAATATTTAACCTGAATTTCTAGTTACTGAGTTAATATTTACGCGAGTTCGGAGTTACTGTGTAAACATTTACCTGTGTTCCTACATACTAAGTAAACATTTACCTGTGTTCCCCTATATACTGAGTAAAACATTTACCTGTGTTCCCATATGTACTGAGTAAAACATTTCCTTGTGTTCCCCTATATACTGAGTAAAACATTTCCTTGTGTTCCCCTATATACTGAGTAAAACATTTACTTGTGTTCCCATATATACTGAGTAAAACATTTACTTGTGTTCCCATATATACTGAGTAAAACATTTACCTGTGTTCCCATATATACTGAGTAAAACATTTACCTGTGTTCCCATATATACTGAGTAAAACATTTACCTGTGTTCCCATATATACTGAGTAAAACATTTACTTGTGTTTTACTTGTGTTCCCATATATACTGAGTAAAACATTTACTTGTGTTCCCATATATACTGAGTAAAACATTTACTTGTGTTCCCATATATACTGAGTAAAACATTTACTTGTGTTCCCATATATACTGAGTAAAACATTTACCTGTGTTCCCATATATACTGAGTAAAACATTTACCTGTGTTCCCATATATACTGAGTAAAACATTTACCTTGTGTTCCCATATATACTATATATATACTGAGTAAAACATTTCCTTGTGTTCCCCTATATACTGAGTAAAACATTTACCTGTGTTCCCATATATACTGAGTAAAACATTTACTTGTGTTCCCCTATATACTGAGTAACACATTTACCTGTGTTCCCATATATACTGAGTAAAACATTTACTTGTGTTCCCATATATACTGAGTAAAACATTTACCTGTGTTCCCATATGTACTGAGTAAAACATTTCCTTGTGTTCCCCTATATACTGAGTAAAACATTTACTTGTGTTCCCCTATATACTGAGTAAAACATTTACTTGTGTTCCCCTATATACTGAGTAAAACATTTACCTGTGTTCCCCTACTTGTGTTCCCCTATATACTGAGTAAAACATTTCCTTGTGTTCCCATATATACTGAGTAAAACATTTACTTGTGTTCCCATATATACTGAGTAAAACATTTACTTGTGTTCCCATATATACTGAGTAAAACATTTACTTGTGTTCCCATATATACTGAGTAAAACATTTACTTGTGTTCCCATATATACTGAGTAAAACATTTACCTGTGTTCCCATATATACTGAGTAAAACATTTACCTGTGTTCCCATATGTACTGAGTAAAACATTTCCTTGTGTTCCCATATATACTGAGTAAAACATTTACCTGTGTTCCCATATATACTGAGTAAAACATTTACCTGTGTTCCCATATATACTGAGTAAAACATTTACTTGTGTTCCCATATATACTGAGTAAAACATTTACTTGTGTTCCCATATATACTGAGTAAAACATTTACCTGTGTTCCCATATGTACTGAGTAAAACATTTACTTGTGTTCCCATATATACTGAGTAAAACATTTACTTGTGTTCCCATATATACTGAGTAAAACATTTACCTGTGTTCCCATATATACTGAGTAAAACATTTACCTGTGTTCCCATATGTACTGAGTAAAACATTTCCTTGTGTTCCCATATATACTGAGTAAAACATTTACTTGTGTTCCCATATATACTGAGTAAAACATTTACTTGTGTTCCCATATATACTGAGTAAAACATTTACTTGTGTTCCCATATATACTGAGTAAAACATTTACCTGTGTTCCCATATGTACTGAGTAAAACATTTACCTGTGTTCCCATATGTACTGAGTAAAACATTTCCTTGTGTTCCCATATATACTGAGTAAAACATTTACTTGTGTTCCCATATATACTGAGTAAAACATTTACTTGTGTTCCCATATATACTGAGTAAAACATTTACCTGTGTTCCTAGATACTGAGTACAACATTTACCTGTGTTCCTAGATACTAAGTAAAACATTTACCTGTGTTTCTAGATACTAAGTAAAACATTTACCTGTGTTTCTAGATACTGAGTAAAACATTTACTTGTGTTCCCCTATATACTGAGTAAAACATTTACCTGTGTTCCCATATATACTGAGTAAAACATTTACCTGTGTTTCTAGATACTGAGTAAAACATTTACCTGTGTTCCTAGATAATAAGTATACATTTACCTGTGTTCCTAGATATTAAGTAAACATTTACCTGTGTTCCTAGATATTAAGTAAACATTTACCTGGGTTCCTCATTATCCTCCAACTCCTTCTCTATCAGGTACAGCTCTCTCTCCAGCCTCCTCAGTGTTAATACGTTCTCTCTGGAAAGAATCAACACAAATGACGCTCATCATAAACGTGTTCTCTGTTTTATTTTATTTCAGTGAATTTTCCTGAGGACAATAATAACAGACATCTTTGTACCTGACATATTCCTGTAACTGCTGTATGGGTGTTCTCTGTTTTACTTACTATCAGTGAATTTTTTCTGATAACAATGATAAAAGATATCTTTGTACCTGACATATTCCTGTAGTTGCTGTATGGGTGTCTTCTGGTCCTCTTCTCTAGAAAGTTGTAACTGAAACCTCATACTCTGTAGCTTCTCTGTTGTCTCCTGTGTACATAACACTGTATGTATCAGTCATTCTTATCAACTTTTTTATTTTACAACAAAAGAAGGTATCACTCTATATCAATCACTTGTTGGCCTGGATTGAAGCATGTGAGGGTTCTTAATAAAGGAGGAAACAAAATTACCCAGGGAAAAATCACTTGGTTGGGCAGGTGACCCCCTTATCTTTTCACGTCTAATCTAGGACTGAAGAATGAACGTCAAGGTGAAAGATAAGTGTGTTATCCCTACATCACTGACCACTTCTTAATCTATAAACAGGTAAATCATGTCTAGCATCCTTACAACATTTGCCAAGCTTTACCTCCACTAATAAATAGGGCACATGTATTCTTTAATTGAAATTATTATCGAGGTCACATAAACTCAAGAACCTATGTTTTTTTCGAGGTCATTTTCTACTGATACTTGCCTTTTTCGTTTTTTCTACGTGAAGCAGTAGATTGTTCACGATGTCAAGAATCATGGCATATTGCAGCTGAAATAAAAACAAGGGGAGGTTATCCAATATTGCACACAGTGCAAAGTCTTTATTATATCTTGATGAATGCATTATTCAATGAACTAGCAAACTGAGACCATTTTTAGTTTTCATACTAATTAAACTTCAGCCTAATTACATCTCAATTAGACGCTCCTGCAGTGAATACATTTCCAATATGTAATATGATTCTATTAGATTCAGACATATTGACTCAACCTACAGCGACTGTGGATGTTATCTTCCCATACTAAAGACTCAGAAAGATTGACTAAACCTACAGCGACTGTGGACGTCATCTTCTCAAACTTGGACTCGAGACAGATTGATTCAACCTACAGCGACTGTGGACGTCATCTTCCCAAACTTGGACTCCAGACAGATTGACTCAACCTACAGCGACTGTGGATGTTATCTTCCCATACTAAAGACTCGAACAGATTGACTCAACCTACAGCGACTGTGGACGTCATGTTCTTACAAATAATGCAGTTAGTATTACGTATTTCAACTCAAAACAGCCCATGTCAAATGAGTTCTTCAGCATTTCAAATGTAACATAAATTAGGAAGAACCTGCCAACCTTGATATCTCAAAAGACTTAGTTGCATCTTGTCAGATAGTAAAATAAATTTTAGTTGTTCATAAACGAACATCCCTGGTTCAACTGATCAAACTGCCAAACAGAAATGGTCCTGATGTGATGTTACTGTATTCCTACTTCAGAATAATTCTGCCTATCAGGGGCATTACCATACTTATTTTGTGATAAGTCAGGCAGCAAACACATACGGTAACCTGTATCTCGAGGTAAGGAGGCGAACTTATCAAAGGACAATGATAAAGTATTTGTTGGCATTTTTATAGACCGCCAATAGATTTGGGTGATCTTATTGCTACAGATACAGGGATATACGGCTTAAATAATATGTGGTACCTCAGCTTTCTGATTACTTACAGAGTTTGTACAAACATTCAAGTCGTGATGAAGCAATGTAAAACTGTCCACCCCTTCTTCTCTGGACATCATATCCGAGGAATCCTCCGAAGGCTGTATATGAAAAATCAAAGGTGTGGAAATATAATAATGTTCAACTATCAATATCCATGTTTTTTCTTTACCCATATGCATAATACTTTTCTCAGATCTACTGTATTACTTAACTGATAAATGTACTGCCACTTAGTTATATGTTACGTAAAATGCTGTCACAAAAACAGCCATTTATGTTACAGTTAAAATACATTTTGTAATGATATTATATGATATCTTAATGGAAATAACAAAACCAGTACATGTCACTCAAGACAAAAATCATGGGCCAATCTATTTTTTTTTAATATATTCATAGAAATTTAAAAATTAGCTTCAGTTGAAATATTCATAAAACATTTTGAATTTTAGTTGAACCATCTTTATCTTTCGTGAAATCTACTATTCAGATATTATCACCAAATCTGTTGAGAGCTTCACAGGTTCCCATAACACTGAATCTGAATGTGACATGACATGACAATGTGAAATTACTGATATAATTGTCGCTATTTACTTCCCCTCATCCACTATAACATCGACACCAGTGTCAGACTATATAACACCATACAAATAAATTCAATGAAAACACTCAAATTCATTTCACAATAAAATAGAAAAATCTTGCTCCAGATGGTATGTTTTTCAACACTAAGAAAAGTGAAATTGTTTTTTCCCATATGGCAATACAATAAAATCGTAGTGCATTACACACATATCATATGGTTTATCACACAACTACCCTGTTATCATGGTTTATCACACGACTACCCTGTTATCATGGTTTATCACACAACTACCCTGTTATCAGAGTAATAACACCCATTACAAAAATCTTTGTTATTACACTTGTAAAATATAACCCCATGGACCTGTGTGTGGCTGAATGTTCTCATTGTTTCCACTGTGACGTCATACTTTCTGGCGTCATTTGTAGTGACCTCACTAAAGAAAGATATATACGAGTGGGAATATTGCCATAAAATGCTGTCCTTATGAATTTTGGCAAAAGTATCTGAGTGATGTGATAAAAACGAAATCTTAAATCCATTTCATAAAAGATTAATGAAAATATACCGGAGTTTTTCATTTTATGTCTTAAGATTTGTTTAATAAATCTCAAAAGAAATGGAAATTCTTATAAGATCCTCAATACATCATGGGACATGCTGGTCAGACAAAAAAAAATTTCAAAATCAGTGATTTAACTTACTGGGGGTGGTATTTCTGGCAGTGTTTCATCATCCACATCACCATAGCTGGCAAAGAACACCTGACATTTACATCTGGAGATAATTCTCTGGAGCTGTACTGAGGTCTTTTTAGACTTCTGGGACTGCCAAAGAAAAAAAGAAACAGGATTGAAAATACAGATCAATCATTACATATAAATCTTGGAATGTCATTTCAATGTTTCAGGAAAAAAATAATCAATGATCAAATATGTAAAATTCTGCCTCCTACACTAACAACTCCCCCTTTCACTTCCCATCTATTAAATTCTAAGTAAGGCATCCACTTGTATTGTCCTGTGTATAGTTTCCTAGACATACACATGTACACTTACATCATAGGAAGCATCTACTTTGTTGTTAAGTCTCATTCACTGAAATGAAGGCCACAACCACCTGTGTCATCCCTTTCACCGGAGATGTTGGCCACATACACCTGTTTCATCCCTTTCACCTGAGATGTTGGCCCTATACACCTGTTTCATCCCTTTCACCTGAGATGTTGGCTCTATACACCTGTTTCATCCCTTTCACCTGAGATTTTGGCCACAACCACCTGTGTCATCCCTTTCACCTGAGATGTTGGCCACAACCACCTGTTTCATCCCTTTCACCGGAGATGTTGGCCACATACACCTGTTTCATCCCTTTCACCTGAGATGTTGGCCCTATACACCTGTTTCATCCCTTTCACCTGAGATGTTGGCCACATACACCTGTGTCATTCGTTTCACCTGAGATGTTGCCCCTATACACCTGTTTCATCCCTTTCACCTGAGATGTTGGCCCTATACACCTGTTTCATCCCTTTCACCTGAGATGTAGGCTCTATACACCTGTTTCATCCCTTTCACCTGAGATGTTGGCCCTATACACCTGTTTCATCCTTTTCACCTGAGATGTTGGCAACATACACCTGTTTCATCCCTTTCACCTGAGATGTTGGCCCTATACACTTGTTTCATCCTTTTCACCCGAGATGTTGGCAACATACACCTGTTTCATCCCTTTCACCTGAGATGTTGGCCACATACACCTGTTTCATCCCTTTCACCTGAGATGTTGGCCACATACACCTGTTTCATCCCTTTCACCTGAGATGTTGGCAACATACACCTGTTTCATCCCTTTCACCTGAGATGTTGGCAACATACACCTGTTTCATCCCTTTCACCTGAGATGTTGGCCACATACACCTGTTTCATCACCACCATGTGTTACATATGTTCTCCTGTTACTAGTATTGTCATGCAAAATCCATACACCCCATTGTTAGGTTCTCCTGTAGACCGAAATCCATCTGTTTAATAATCCTGTCCACAGTACATCAAAACTCACCTGTTTATTAGTTCCGCCCACTGTGCTGCAGACCAAATTAATCCTGCCAACTGTGCTGTAGACCAAAACTCACCTGTTTATAAGTCCCACCAACTGTGCTGTAGACCAAAACTCACCTGTGTATGAGCCCCGCCAACTGTGTTGAAGATCAAACCCACCTGTTTATTAGCCCCGCCAACTGTGTTATAGATCAAACTCACCTGTTTATTAGCCCCGCCAACTGTGCTGTAGACCAGAAACCATCTCTTTATTATCCCTGCCCACTGTACTGTAGACCAAAACCCACCTGTTTATTACCCGCGCCCACTGTGCTGAAGACCAAAACCCATCTGTTTATTAGCCCCGCCCACTGTGCTGAAGACCAAAACCCATCTGTTTATTAGTCATGCCAACTGTGCTGTAGACCAAAACCCATCTGTTTATGAGTCCCGCCCACTGTGCTGCAGACCAAATTAGTCCCGCCCACTATGCTGTAGACCAAAACCCACCTGTGTATTACCGGTAGTTCCGTCCACTGTGCTGTAGACCAAAACCCACCTGTTTATTAGTCCCACCCACTGTGCTGTAGACCACACCACCGACACTGCTACCACTGCCCACCATTTCTGACATTCCTGACAGGTCAGGTTCAGTACGATCTTCTACATTCTCTGGTTGTAGCCAGGCCATGGTGTCATCATCAAGATCATTATCAGGGTCGACTGTAGCATAGTACTGTAAAAGCAAAAATACAGTCACATATATAATTGTAAAATTATTATGAAATTGAACAAAGTTTCAAAAATGTTAACAAGAGACCTATGGGCCTAACAGTCACTTGAAGTCTTCAGGTCTTTAGACAGTTTTAGAACCTGTTCATCAGTCCAAGCATAGAGGCTGACAAAACAGAACCAATATATGTATACATACAAAGTCTTTATTGTTTCTAAGTTTGAAGACTTAATTTCGATTAAATGGGACTGATAACAGCTGTCTGTTGTTGTACTTTAGCATATTTGACTCCTGTGACCCAGTGAATGAAAATCAAGGTCATTTATTTGAACAAACATGACAGTCCTTCATCCCAGCATGTTACTGGTCCAATATCATGACCCTGGGTCATTGGAATGTTCAGAAGAAGTTGTTGAAAATTTAAATACATTTGATCAAGAAGAATTACAGTGCAGTGTGTCTTGATAATAAATAAAAGCATAGCAAGTTTTCAAAAGACGGGTAGAAACTGAATCTCTGGACAATCTTAAAATTCCAAAAAGGACTAAGGGCAATAACTATCTGAAATATTGTTTAATCAAAATGATATAGGGTTTTCAAGTTTCAAAGAAATTGAAAATGTAAAATCCCAATGCAAGTAAAGAAAATGTCATTTTATGTAATGGTGATTTAAGCCTACCAAGTTTGAAAGAAATTGATTGAAAACTGAGTGGAGACCTCCAAACAAGATTAAAATTAAGAAAATAACAATGGGCAGTAAAATCAAATCAAACTGCCATTCACAAAAACTTAATTTGGAGTCATGGTGATTAAGCCAACTAAGTTTGAAAATGATTAATTGAAATATGTGGGTGGAGATCTCCGAACAAATAAAAATTTACTATGGATGGACATTGGCATACCATAATACATCCCATCAAATATTTTGACAGGCTTATAAAAAGAGTAACATTGGCCTTGACCTTCAGCTTGATGCTATAACCATGAAACTCAAACTTATGATAATATTATCTTTATAAATAATGATGATAACCATGACAGGAATCCCATAACGTACTTGTATAACATTTTCTTCACTGAAATTATACTTATCATTAATTAAATTTAAATATTTCTGACACTTCATTGCTACAGCAGCTTTTATATGGTATGTTTAGATATTTATAAATCAGCTGTTTGATGCAGCCTATTGTCACACTTCCTCCTTACTGAATTTAAAGTTTATAATTGTATCTGTTAATAAGATATTTCTTCCTTTCCTGATTTCACAGCTTATTTATTAGAAATGATATCTATGTAAATCTGTCTTTCGTGAATATTTTGCAATTTTCATTGTTTTGAATTTTGACACGCCCATATACCCTTTATCATTTTGACACCATCATAGATATTCAAGATTTGTACAGACTGTTCCTTATTCAGTCAATAAAACAAAGTATGTCCAGATGCCTGGTATCTATAGTCATATGACACACTTACCTGCATACATTCGACAGAGGTCACCCAGGATGTCTTACTGCGGAGTTGGTTTTCCTGCCACACAGGGTGATGTGTACAGGACACAATCTGGGCTTTAGCTGCACTGACAATCACATACCCTGACGTCTCACATCCTTTCACCATCATCTGGCTGTTGTGTAGTTCAACTGTCAAACAGCGACAAAATTATTTGTAAAGAAACAATGTTATATAGGATTACACTTGGTGATTTTTTTATCAACTTACCCAAATTGTTAAATCTTGACTTTAGTAAATGCTGCAATTTTCATCTGGTTCCATTTTTTGTTTTGTTTTTGAAAGATTGAATAAAATCTTGAGAATTGGGCACATTTAAATAAAAAAGAAAAATTAGAGAAAACCAGCATTTGTTGAATGATTTTCATAAAAATCATCCTTTTGATCTGAAACTTAAAAATGCTTAAGTTAAAACCATTGAGAAGAACCTTTGTGAAAAATTTGTGGTGATTTAAGAAACACACAGCAGGGAGTTTTTTGAAAGATTTTCATCAAAAACATCCTTTTACAAGAATTAGCACAACATACTTCATCAGTTACCACTATTATAAAATGCCTTATGAAGATAATTCAGTCGAGAAATTAACTTTCTCCTGATAATCCTGAACCATAACATTCCAAAAGACACCCACTTGATGGTGAAAGACTGGTCATTCATTAGAGGGAGTTTCATTTCTTTATGGAATTAAAATAAAGAGAAATTTAATATTGGAGATAACTCACTGAGCCAGTTTTTACAGTAAACATCATCTGTCTGGCATGCAGCTACACCATGTAACTGGTCCATATTCACACTCGATGGCTGAAATTTTAATTAGAAATTACTTTAAATTCTTAAAATGACACCAGTATCAACTCAATCATAATACAACAATATCTACCAAAATCATGGACAGTATGCACATTTTTTACACTAATTAAATGTCATTACAGAGTCTACCAAAAGCATAATGTCCACTGTATGTCAATTCATTAAAATCCTATTAGAATAATTAATATCTAGTTATGATTAAAATGTATTAATATAAGGGATAAATGACTCACATTAATGGATTCTAATATTGTTAACGCACACTATTAACAAATTTTAATCAAAAATTTAATGACAGTAAATAATGGAATATAATAAAATTTTAAACTTAAAGCTTAATTGAAAGTTAATGACATTAAAGTCAGATATACTTCAGAAGTGGTCTTCTACAGAATTTTATTCTAAATAGCTACATATCATCACCAGTATACAACTACGGGTCATGGGATAGGGATCTAAAACGTTTTCAAACACATTTCTCCTATTGAGCCCCTCTCCTCCTGCCCTAGGGGGGCTGAGATACACCATTTATACAAAATTGATTTCCTTTCGCCCAAAGATTCTTCTGATCAAATTTGGGCAAAAGCCAATCATTCCTACTGGAGGAGTAGAATTTTAAATAATTTGCTCTATTTCCCCTAATGAGCCCTGCCCCCTCCTGCCCCAAGGGGCTCCGAGATGTAAAACTCTCCTCAGTGAATGATCATGATGTGATAGAGATTACAATGATAAACTCTCAGTTTACTCACCTCCTCAGTGAAAGATCATGATGTGACAGAGGTTACAATGTAAAAACTCAGTAAACTCACCTCCTCAGTGAAAGATCATGATGTGACAGAGGTTACAATGTAAAAACTCAGTAAACTCACCTCCTCAGTGAATGCCACAGATTTGCTATCCGACTCTGATACCAGCTTCATGAGAAGTGAGTGTGTATGGACACCACTGAGCTTAGTCCCAGGGCTGGGATTAGGAGTAGTCGGGGAACCAGGGGGACCTGTTGTCAAGGACATTGACCTTGTCTTCTGTAACAAAAATAATAAATGAGAGTAGATAACAATTCATGATAATTCCACCTGTAGAATTTTCATCATAAAATGCAACTTCATCAGATGGAGCATTCAACAAATATTTGAAAGTAGTACTAAAGTCAAAATAAAAATTGGTATGCTGACACTGCACTTAATTAAAACACATACTAAATATATAAAAACAATATATTTGAAATCTCATTATCTATGTAACCAGGAAACCTTACATTTGACCCTTGTCCTCCATCGACCTTGAACTTTTTGAGGGCATCAGCAGACAGATTTCGCTTTAGTGATTGAGCCTTGGTGTAACTGTCGAGCACGCCCAGTAATACAGTACGATTGTGTTTGGTCCATGCTCCCTTAAGGTCATGTACTTGTACATTGTGGGTTGCCTGTAATATTGTTCACAGAACTGAATAATCAGTGTATCAACACCTTTTACATAAATGTTTTGGTATTACACACGTGTAATATGACTTAGCTATGATTGACTGAAGGTTCTCTTTGTTTCCATGGCGATGTAACTTCATAGCATCATATGTATTGTGATGTCACCAAAGAATGAGAGTTAAAAATTATCACCAATTTTAAATCTAGTACCAGTCTAATAAAACCTTGTTTTCTTGAATGGATGGAAACTGTCTTAGTTTTGTGATAAACTAATCTAACATGTTTCCACTTTATATGTGAATCATGAAACTTGACAAAACTTTTCATTTTACCTTGTCTGAGTCTTCTAAAATTAAAAAATCTTCTTGTGAAAATGAAAAATTCTTTGACTTGCTTCATAATCTTATTCATAAAACTGAATCAGATGTATTAGATAAACTCCTTCTGATCAATGATTGCCTATTGTTTTAATGACAAACCATGAACGATAACATTATAAAGATGAGTCTTTAATTGCTGTTATTTCCATCTTTATCAAATTCAATATGCAACACTGAAGAAATCAATAAATACAAATTTGTCAATTCCTGTCTTAAAAATACCAACAACGGTCAACAAAGTTGATAAAAATCTCAAAACTGAGTATGTTTTAAAATGTTCATTATCAGTTATATTGCAGGGTAATAACTATATAGAATTGACATTACGTTACACCCTAAAACAAAAGCCATAAGATTTTCCTACCAACCTTATTAAATCGTTTGTCTTCTTCCTCCTCTTCGTCTTCTTCCTCGTCCTGCTCACAGGAGGCACTGGTGTTGTCTCCTCTTTGATATGAAACTCTGTAGACAATATTAGCAATCAATCATTGACTTTCAGAATATATCAAACAAAACATGTCTAAGAGTTAGGAGACTGAAACAAATGTAAATAAAGCACCTCAAGATGGTTCCATCCATGAAAAGCATTTGATTCTACCATATCTAGGTGTTGAGAAGAGGATTTCTGAAATCTGGGTCAATTTGAATGCTTCTTGTCCTACCCCTTAGGCCCCTGAGTGTGGGGACCAATAATTCATTGTTTTGGCCAGGGAAGGTTTCTGCAAAATTGGCCAAGGAAGTTTCCTTCAAAATTTCAGTGAAATATGTTGAGGTGTCTGAGATGAAGCCAAGAATTTAAAAAATTTAAGGACACACAACCCTGTACAAAAAATATCAATAAGCCTTCATGAGACTCAGTGACCAAAAAATTAACATCTGTTTTTACACAAAATTATTGACTTCCCCAGTTTCTGTAAAGCATACATCATCCTTGCCTATATCACCTGCCCTGACCACTGTATTTCAAATATGCATATTTTAATTTGAGCTTAATATTAAAAACGATTAATTAATATACCACTGTTAAACATAATTCTAATATTGATAAATTATCAATAAAAAGAAATGTGTCCCTCGCCCTAACATATCTATAATATTTCAGTATCTAGGAAGGCCTTTCAGAAAATGTCAGCAAGCATATGATGGTTATCTTACATAAGAATTTCAGAAGTTACATTTTCACGGTCCATGTGTAAAATTCTCCATCTTACCTGCCAACACTCAGGAAGAAATTCTTATCTACTGGATTACGGAGAGACACATTCAACTGAAAAAATAGACACAAAATAATATAAATATTTTCTCTGCTAGACCAACGAATCCCACAAAATTACTTTTCCGACAACCCTGACATTTTAGATTAGAAATCTGATCATTTCTATTAAAGTGATCAAACTTTTTCCAATTTTCTGCTGAAGATCTAAGTTCATATTTGAAAGATTTTGGTATATTTTTTCATAATAAATGATTACGTTATATTATTTTAACTTAATAACTGGAAGTTTTACTTTGATTTAGAAATCATTTATTTAAATGATGAATAATTTGTGTTTGCGGATATCAATAACAACCCCTTAGTGACAATAAATCATTGCCCAGATGCTCAAACATGCCAAATAAAATCAGCCAGGCTCCAAGCAGCCTAACTCTAACGCCGTTTAATGGATAAAGCTTTTTTCCCACAAGATTCTGCAATTTTATCAAAATATTTGACTAATGATGGTGATTTTATGTCTATCAATACATTTATCCCCAAGTAAGCATGTTTTCTTATACATATGTGATCCAGCAGAGAACATTGTGAGTGTTAGTTTTATATCTTAAGTCTATGGATACATGTATGTTTGGTGTGACATTATAATTCATGTTTATTCACTCAAAGAAAATAAGGCAAACAGAGTAGTGCAAGAGGCTTTTGTACAGATTTTGTATGATAGTGTTAGAAGTTCTGATGAACTTTTTCATTATTCATTAGTCCCGATATAAACCAGCTTTATACCTAGCAATGCTCTAGGCTAGCCAACATTTACAAGTTTTTTAAGTCAATGCACTTGAGCAGAGAATAAAGCATCAAATATTTCACAGTGAATTCATCATTTGATCATTTTCATTCATTTTTTTTCATATCAGTTACTTAGTCGACATCAATAGGAAGTCACTAAAACATCATTTGGATCTCAGTGTCTGGAAAAAAGTTGGATATCATTGACAATACCTATATATTTCAGTATCTCTTCGTCCAGATTACAGTGAAATTACTTGCAAAATGCCCATTTGATATCCCGTCCGTGCGATATCTATATTGTATTTCATCAGTGAAAATACAAAAGCAATCAGGAAAATGATAACCAAGTGTTCAAAACCTGATAGCTTGACCAAATCTGTGGCTAGATAAACTCACAAGATTTAAAACACCTTAATCTGTGGCTAGATAAACTCACATGATTTAAAACACCTTAATATGTGGCTAGATAAACTCACAAGATTTAAAACACCTTAATCTGTGGCTAGATAAACTCACATGATTTAAAACACCTTAATCTGTGGCTAGATAAACTCACAAGATTTAAAACACCTTAATCTGTGGCTAGATAAACTCACAAGATTTAAAACACCTTAATATGTGGCTAGATAAACTCACATGATTTAAAACATCTAAATCTGTGGCTAGATAAACTCACAAGATTTAAAACACCTTAATCTGTGGCTAGATAAACTCACATGATTTAAAACATCTAAATCTGTGGCTAGATAAACTCACAAGATTTAAAACACCTTAATCTGTGGCTAGATAAACTCACATGATTTAAAACATCTAAATCTGTGGCTAGATAAACTCACAAGATTTAAAACACCTTAATCTGTGGCTAGATAAACTCACAAGATTTAAAACACCTTAATCTGTGGCTAGATCAACTCACATGATTTAAAACATCTAAATCTGTGGCTAGATAAACTCACAAGATTTAAAACATCTTAATCTGTGGTTAGATTAACTCACAAGATTTAAAACACCTTAATCTGTGGCTAGATAAACTCACAAGATTTAAAACTCTTTAAACTGTGGCTAGATAAACTCACAAGATTTAAAACACCTTAACCTGTGGCCAGATAAACTCACAAGATTTAAAACACCTTAATCTGTGGCTAGATAAACTCACAAGATTTAAAACACCTTAATCTGTGGCTAGATCAACTCAAAAGATTTAAAACACCTTAATATGTGGCCAGATAAACTCACAAGATTTAAAACACCTTCATCTGTGGCTAGATAAACTCACAAGATTTAAAACAGTCACCTAAAGAGACAGTATTTCCACCTACTGTACATGAAAAAATAAATCTACTGAAATTACCAACTGTATGTTAAGAAATACACGTAGTGAAATCATCATCAAATTCTAACATATTTCACATGGTGATCCAGTGATTGTTAGGGATGGAATAATTCTATCTCACACAGGGTAGGGAAAGAGAGCTGCCACACACTATGATGCTACTCATTACAGAAAAGCATAGGCCCTTCATTTAGCGTAACCATGTCAAAAATCACATCTATATCAACCCAAAGTTCATGGGACATTGATGACGGCAGGATTAAGAGGTAGCTGCAGTTAGAAGCAGTTCCGAAACGTCAAAGAGAATTATCTTTATACTAGCTTACTAATGATTGTCAAAGATTGAAAGGAGTAGCCAGGCAAGAATATAGGGTTATTCTGTTTTCTTGTGCAAACAATGCTATAATATTCCTGGGTTAAGTAGCAGTAGGCCAGTAGAATCTTCCTGGATTATCCTTGTTGCAGTAATGTATTTGTGATCTCAAAACATTTAAAGACATCACTGATCAAAAACAAAGACAGATGGTTTAGAATGTAACCAACTCTATAAATATTTACTGTATCATTAGACAGATGGTTTAGAATGTAACCAAGTCTATAAATATTTACTGTATCATTAGACAGATGGTTTAGACTGAACCAAGTCTATAAATATTTACTGTATCATTAGACAGATGAACAAGTCTATAAATATTTACTGTATCATTAGACAGATGGTTTAGACTGAACCAAGTCTATAAATATTTACTGTATCATTAGACAGATGAACAAGTCTATAAATATTTACTGTATCATTAGACAGGTGGTTTAGACTGAACCAAGTCTATAAATATTTACTGTATCATTAGACAGATGAACAAGTCTATAAATATTTACTGTATCATTAGACAGATGGTTTAGACTGAACCAAGTCTATAAATATTTACTGTATCATTAGACAGATGAACAAGTCTATAAATATTTACTGTATCATTAGACAGGTGGTTTAGACTGAACCAAGTCTATAAATATTTACTGTATCATTAGACAGATGAACAAGTCTATAAATATTTACTGTATCATTAGACAGATGAACAAGTCTATAAATATTTACTGTATCATTAGACAGATGGTTAACAATGTAACCGAGTCTATAAATATTTACTGTATCATTAGACAGATGAACAAGTCTATAAATATTTACTGTATCATTAGACAGATGGTTTACAATGTAACCGAGTCTATAAATATTTACTGTATCATTAGACAGATGAACAAGTCTATAAATATTTACTGTATCATTAGACAGATGGTTTACAATGTAACCGAGTCTATAAATATTTACTGTATCATTAGACAGATGAACAAGTCTATAAATATTTACTGTATCATTAGACAGATGAACAAGTCTATAAATATTTACTGTATCATTAGACAGATGGTTTACAATGTAACCGAGTCTATAAATATTTACTGTATCATTAGACAGATGAACAAGTCTATAAATATTTACTGTATCATTAGACAGATGGTTTACAATGTAACCAAGTCTATAAATATTTACTGTATCATTAGACAGATGAACAAGTCTATAAATATTTACTGTATCATTGGACAGATGGTTTAGAATGTAACCAAGTCTATTAATATTTGATGTATCATTAGACAGGATTTACAATGTAACCATGTCTATAAATATTTACCGTATCATTAGACAGATGAACAAGTCTATAAATATTTACCGTATCATTAGACAGATGAACAAGTCTATAAATATTTACTGTATCATTAGACAGATGGTTTAGAATGTAACCGAGTCTATAAATATTTACTGTATCATTAGACAGATGAACAAGTCTATAAATATTTGATGTATCATTAGACAGATGGTTTAGAATGTAACTAAGTCTATAAATATTTACTGTATCATTGGACAGATGGTTTAGAATGTAACCAAGTCTATTAATATTTGATGTATCATTGGACAGATGGTTTAGAATGTAACCAAGTCTATTAATATTTGATGTATCATTAGACAGATGAACAAGTCTATTAATATTTGATGTATCATTAGACAGATGAACAAGTCTATTAATATTTTATGTATCATTAGACAGGATTTACAATGTAACCATGTCTATAAATATTTACCGTATCATTAGACAGATGAACAAGTCTATAAATATTTACTGTATCATTGGACAGATGGTATAGAATGTAACTAAGTCTATAAATATTTACTGTATCATTGGACAGATGGTTTAGAATGTAACCAAGTCTATTAATATTTGATGTATCATTAGACAGGATTTACAATGTAACCATGTCTATAAATATTTACCGTATCATTAGACAGATGAACAACTCTATAAATATTTACTGTATCATTAGACAGATGGTTTACAATGTAACCATGTCTATAAATATTTACCGTATCATTAGACAGATGAACAAGTCTATAAATATTTACCGTATCATTAGACAGATGAACAAGTCTATAAATATTTACTGTATCATTAGACAGATGGTTTACAATGTAACCAAGTCTATAAATATTTACTGTATCATTAGACAGATGAACCAAGTCTATAAATATTTACTGTATCATAAGACAGATGAACAAGTCTATAAATATTTACTGTATCATTAGACAGATGGTTTACAATGTAACCAAGTCTATAAATATTTACTGTATCATTGGACAGATGGTTTAGAATGTAACCAAGTTTATTAATATTTGATGTATCATTAGACAGGTGAACAAGTCTATAAATATTTACTGTATCATTAGACAGATGGTTTAGAATGTAACCAAGTCTATAAATATTTACTGTATCATTAGACAGATGAACAAGTCTATAAATATTTACTGTATCATTAGACAGATGAACAAGTCTATAAATATTTACTGTATCATTAGACAGATGGTTTACAATGTAACCATGTCTAT